GATCTAGGTAGGTTTTCTCCTTGATGAGTTTCTATCTATTGCTTCTTTTTATCCCTCTAGATCCGTGTTTTCAGCCTTGGAAGCTTTGGAATATTTGAGAGGCTACCATAAAGAAGAGGAGGTCAACCTATTCTCCAAAGCATCTAGAGCAGTGTTTCTCAACCTTGGAAGCAGCGCTGGCTGGGGGATTCTGGGAGTTGAAGTCCACCCATCTTCAAGCTACCAAGGTTGAGAAACACTGCTCTAAATGCTTTGGAGAATAGGTTGACCTCCTCTTCTTTATGGTAGCCCCTCAAATATTGGAAGACTGCTATCATGTCATCCATTGTCCTTCTTTTCATTAGACTAGGCATAGCCAATTCCTGCAACCATCCAGTCCCCTAATCATCTTTGTTGATCTTCTCTGCACTCTTTCTAGAGTCTCAATATCTCTTTTATATCGTGGCAACCAAAACTAGATGCTGTATTCCAATTGTGGCCTTGAGTGTTACTAACACTTCATGTGCTCTTGATTCTATCCCTCTGTTAATGCAGCCTAGGACTGAATTGGCTTTTTTGGCAGCTGCTGCACATTGCTGGCTCATATTTAAGTGATCGTCCACTAGGACACTGAGATCCTTCTCACAGTTGCTACTGCTGAACTAGGTATTACTTATTCTTTACCTGATATTTCTGGATGTTTCTTTACATAAAATAACATAAATAAAATATACACCCACATTCATTTTAAAAAAAACCACAGTAGACTAGGCACTCATGATTCTGGCTCAAATCATCCTGCTTTGCCAGTTTTGCCAGTTTTCTGTTTTCCACTTTTTTTTCTAATGAAGAACTATGTATTTTAAAAATTGTTGCTCCAGCCTGTAACCTTAAATGCTGCAATCCCTTTTGCCACAGAAGAGTTGTACCAATATGCATCCAACTGCATTCTGATCAAACATGAAGCCAGACTACGGGGTATCTGTGGGAACAAGGGTGTGTAGAGATACTACACTAGAGGTTGTGAATCCCTATGAACCATTTCTGTCATTACTGTTTTTGCCCAAAGCTGATTACTCTTCAGCACTTTGGATTAAGACTCTTATTCATTAAATGTGATTTATTTCCATGACATTATTTCCTTTAAAAACTTACACTCTACCACTCTAATACCAGGTCAAGTGTTCCACTACTTTCTATTTATACATGATTTATTTATGTTATTTATTAAATTTCGATACTGTCTATCCCACCTACAAAGTGACTCTGGTTCCCAGAAGTTTTCAGAAATTCTGATTGTTCTAGTGGGGAAAACATTCATTCATTCATTCATTCCATTGGATTTAATTGCTTTTCAATGCTGTCTTAATATTCTCTTACTAATTACAATACTGTACATTTTCATTTCAATAAAAACCATGTTATAAGTGCATACATTCATAAGCCCATGCATACACATACACCACAGAAAACTGTACAGCTTATCTTAGTCCAATATCAATGCAAATGAACTAGTAAGGTTAAAGTTTGCCTCTTCCTAAACCTACCAACAAGGATATTTGCACTGGGTTTTTAAAGACAATATTTTTGAATTTTAGAAAAATTCAAAAGAAAAGCAGAAAAGCAGTTATATCCACAAATCTGATTCAGCATTAACATGATCATACTCCTTATTGTTGGGATAAGGTGAGGTCAGAGTGAGAAGGGAATGTCTGGGTTGTATCAAAGAAGTATGGCTGCAGTGCTAGGGTTTTCTGGTTTTTTGTTTGTTTGTTTGTTTCTTGCTTTTACTGTGTATATATTGCTTTACTCTTCATTGTAAGCCACCCCAGTTTGCTTTAAAATGGGTCACTATGTAAATGTTTTAAATAAATCTGCACCAATTGAAATGCTTTAAGACATTTCATTACCTAACTAAATAACATCATCAGTGCAAAAATCAGTAACATTTTCTTACAGCACAGAGAGATAAATTTCAAATGTACATTTTTAAAACATTTGTATACTCTCTCCCCCCCCCTCTCTGTGTGTGTGTGTGTGTGTGTGTGTGTTATGGAAAGGAATAACATATAAGAACACTTATTTAAAAGTCGGCTTTTAAAAGCAAAATTAAACCTTGACCTCATTAATCAGTATTTCCATTAAGTCAATAGAAAAATAATTCTCATGAGCAGAGAATGAATATATATTACCAATCCAAGATCATAAAACCAAGGTGGCACTGTCCTTCCTTCATAAAAGAGTTTTATTTTTTGCTGTAGCCCATTGTAAATAAATCCATATAATATAGTAAAAAATTACACATTCTGTAATTGAGAAAAACATTAAACCATATTATTGTTTCCAAAATTGTACTGACAAATTATGATTGTCTGCCAAAACAAGACAGCAATTGGGGAAATCAATTTCATTATGTCCCTTCCATTATTTTATACTTCTAACATAATGAAATCCTTTTTAACTAATCTCTGAGTCTCCAAATAACATTAAAAATTGCTGAATTATTCTCAAGTATAACAAACATATTTAATATTATTTATTTAATTATGATTTGTTAATATGAGGCATTCCCGTTTTCTAAATAAAGTTTCCCATGGAACTTTATTGTGTGTTCATATCTCTTAACCACACTCTTTAATTGTCTATAAAGAAATGATATAGTTTTGAAATAATATAAAACATGTTTCAATGCTGATAATAATTCAGAAGTTTTAGATTCAGTGGCTCCTGTTTAATTCCTCTTTTTTTTTTTCCTTTTCTCCTTTTCATGGTCTGATTTGTCTGCAAGCCAGTTCACAGGGTCTGATTTAATTTTAAATAAGGCTACACCTTATTCACAGGAAAGAATGCCTACTGATGAAATCAGCACAAAAACAAAACTAAATCCTTTAAAAGTATTAGTGCTTTTCCTCAATTCATACCTCTTCCTAAAATAAAAAAAGAAAAGATTTAGTTTTTCAAGCATACTGGAATTTGTATGCCCAACACCACCTAATTTTTAAGAATTCAAAGAAATAAAATTTCTGAAGTGCAGTTAGCTTCCTTTCTTCTCCTGATGACCCCCATTCATGAAGCAACAAAATTATGACATGAACATACAATAAGCAAATTAACACACTAATAAAATGGATGTTGAAAATATTTATAGAGTTTGGTATTAATATTCTATTGCAGATGCAATGGCGGGGTTACACTAATTTGTGAGAATAGATATAAACATAGGAAAGTAGGAAATATTAGCCCCATTGTTACAGCTCTTATGTAAAGGTTGTTAGAGGGGGAAAATAAAGTCAAATATCTTCCATTGTGCAAATCTTCCATTATTCAAAACAATTTTCCTAATCGTTCCCTCCCTTGCCATCCACATATTCAATACAATTTCCCTTCTAAAGTAAACATTACACATGGAAAATAATATACACCCAATTATGGTTTTAGCCACATATTGTCAAATAACTGGTGAAACTAGTAAAAAAAAAAAAAAATAGACAACTCTTCCAGATACTGAATGCTGCTTAGAATCTATGGCAATATCCAAACTGCTCCTTAATTTTAATCAAGCTTAGAAACAGAAAAAAGTTCAAGACATTTGTATTAATACATGTGAAGCCTATAATCTATAGACTACTATATCTCTAAGAAATTTGGAAAGACCTAATTTGGAAAACATGCTAAACATCCAAGACAATAAAGAATGTTGGACCTTAGTTGAGAAACGTACATATATATTCAAATCCTATTTAAGCCACAAAGAACAAGCAAATAAATTTGTAATATATTACTTGTAAGGACAGTTAAGTAGCAGCTTCTTTCAGACTTTTGTCTGGTTTTGGAAGTCAAGCAGTGAGAAATGTGAGACTAACAAGCAAAAGGCTGAATTTGGACTGGCAGACTATAAAAACCATCCTAGAAGAAAGCAATGAGTGTGCCAAGTAAACTGCATGACTCTGTCCATGTAGTCACTGGGAGATCAATTTGACTTTCCATTGTATATCACTATTTCATGGAAAATGGAAGAAGGGTAGATTTTGGATCAGTACTTCATCCTTTTTCTATCATGAAACCTGTTCCCAGTTAGTAATAGTTGCTAGAGGTTGGGTGGCCCAGATCAGAGCAATGAGTGAGGGCTCTGGCTTAACTTGTTGCTTCCTATGTCACTTTGTTACTTTGAACTGTCCTCACTGCTAGATCATTTTGTTGTTTCCTACAGCATCTTGTTTGTAGAGCAGGAGCCCAGGAAGCAAACAACTTATAAATAAAAAGTTAAGCCCAGGACACAATCTAACAAGTGGTGGGTTGCTCCGGGTCCGGTCCAGTTCTATAGAACCGGTAGTAAAACCGGTGGGAGGCTCCACCCACCCGCCATGATGTCATCATGGGTGATCTGCGCATGCGCAGAAATGCAAGTGCGCACTCCCACTGCGAACCAGTAGTAAAGGTAAGTGGAACCCACCTCTGAATCCAGTGGTGAAATGTAAAATTTGTTACTATCGGTTCTGTGGGCGTGGCTTGGTGGGGAGGGGGGGTAATGTGACTGGGTGGGTGTGGCCAACTTTTTTTTTTAACTTTTAAAACCATTTTTTCTATAACCTCTTCTTCTATAACCTCTGACGATCCCAGCTGAACCACACGATCATCAGAGGCTTTTTTTTTTACTCTTAAAAGCATTTTTCGGCCGAAGAGGTTGCAGAAAAAATGCTTTTAAAATTTTTTAAAAAAGCCTCTGATGATTGCACAGCTCAGCTGGGCATGGGGGGGGGCAGGGATTTTTGCTACCGGTTCTCCGAACCACCCGCCTCCATCGCTACCGGATCAGGCAATCCGGTCCGAACCGGGAGCATTTCACCCCTGCCTGAATCCAACCGGAACATCCATAAACTTTATCCACAACTATTAATCTTCCTTAAAATGGGCGTTGTACTTACCTGATACGCCCCTTCTCTGTGCTGCTGTCACGGCAGTCAGTCATGGGTGGTGCTTCGGTGCTGATTGGTAGGACCGAGCCTACTAGAAGCTTTAGGCCCGCCTCTTCCTGCCTGGCTCCAGTTTTGAGGCGAGGTATTCAGTAGACTGTCGTGTCTATAGAGATAAAAGAAGAGAAGTGAAAGTGCCTCCCGCCCCCAGAATTCCCCGGTACCGACCAGGGTGGGGCTGACTGCCGTGACAGCAGCACAGAGAAGGGGCGTATCAGGTAAGTACAACGCCCATTTTCCTATTGGCTGTCACGGCAGTCAGTCATGGGACATACCAAAGCTCTTGTCCTATAGGGTGGGATCCGGTCGGACCCGTTGTAGCACTCTCCTTCCAAAGGATGCATCAGCTGATGCGTAAGTGTCGAGGCGGTAATGCCGGATAAAAGGAGTCACCGACGTCCACGTAGCTGCCCGACAGACTTCATCCAGGGGAGCCTGGGGAGCCCATGCTGCGGATATAGCGGCACTTCTGGTGGAGTGCGCTGTGATACGTCATGGAACAGGTAAAGACTGAGACTCATAAGCAGTGGCAATAGTAGCCCGCAGCCAACGGCCAACGGTGGAGGATGAAACACGAGCACCCATGGTGGACGGCTGAAATGAGATGAAGAGGGCCTCGGTCCTGCGGAAGGATGAAGTTCGGGACAGGTATACCTTGAGAGCCCTGCGCACATCCAGGGTGTGCCAGACTTTTTCCAGGCGGTGACGTGGATGTGGACAAAAATTTGGAAGGATGAGTTCCTGGGATCTATGAAAAGTGGAATTAACTTTTGGGATGAATGCTGGGTCCAAACGGAGTACGACCCTGTCAGTGTGGAAGATACAGAGGTCAGAACGAACTGAAAGTGATGCCAATTCCGATATCCGGCGTGCGGAGGTAATTGCCACCAGGAAGGAGACCTTGAATGACAAAAATTTGAAGTTGACTTCCTGGAGAGGTTCGAAGGGAGGCTTTGTGAGGGAAGTAAGAACCTTGTTCAAGTCCCAGGTAGGGAATCTGTGGATCACCGGAGGGCGTAGATTAGTGGCACCTTGTAAAAAGGCTCGGATGAGGGGCTCCTTGGAGAGAGGGACTTCAGGACCGAAGGACAAAACCGATGACAACGCCGCCACCTGGCGGCGCAAGGTATTGGGGGAGAGACCTGAGGCGAATCCCTCCTGTAGGAAATCCACCAGTTGAACTACGGAAATAGATGAGGGGTCCAGGTGATGTTTGGTGGCCCAACGGAGGAAAGACTTCCAGGTGGAGTCGTAAATATGAGCGGTAGAAGGTCTGCGAGCTGCTAAGATGATAGGAATAGCTGCAGGAGAGACATTGGCAGTGATTAAACGTTGCTGCTCAACCTCCAGGCGGTCAGATGATAGACCTGGGGTTCCGGATGGGCGAGGTCGCCCTGAAATAGCGCGATTTGATTGTCTGGGATTTGCCATGGAAGAGCCACTGAAAGCGAAACAAGGTCCGCAAACCAAGGTCTGCGGGGCCAGTGAGGGGCCAGCAGGATGAGCTCTGCCCGTTCTTGCAACAGGTTGTGAATTACTTTGGCCACCAGAGAAAAGGGAGGGAACGCATACAGGAGCAGACCTTGAGGCCAAGGGCTGCGAAGAGCGTTCATTGCCTCCACTCCCGCCGAGGGGAAGCGAGAGTAAAAGCGAAGCAGAAGATGGTTGCTGCTGGAGGCAAATAGGTCTACCTGCGGCCTGCCGAACCGGAGGGATAGTAGATCGAAGAGATGAAGAGGAATGCTCCATTCCGTGTGGTCCACCCGTAGGCGGCTGAGTAAGTCTGCCTGGGAGTTGTCTTTCCCGGTGATGTAGTCCGCTCGCAGCGACCTCAAGTGCGCTTCGGCCCACAGGCCCAAACGAAGGGCCTCCTTCATTAGAGTCCTCGAGCGAGTCCCGCCCAGTCTGTTGATATGAGCTTTGGCCGAGATGTTGTCCGTGAGGACCAAGACATCCCGGCCGCGTACCTGAGGTAGGAACGTCGAAGAGCCAGGTAAACTGCTCGTAGCTCGAGAACTTTGATGGAAAGCAGATGTTCGCTTGTTGACCACAGACCCTGTGTGGAAAGGAACTCGAGGTGGGCCCCCCAGCCGATGAGACTCGCGTCGGTCGTTAGAACCAATCTCTGGGGCTCCTGGAAACTGCAGCCTTGGATATTGCTGGCGAAGTCCACCAACGGAGGGATGTGACGACGGGAGTAGGAAGTTGAATCGTCCGTGAAGGAAGCGTGGAAAAATTCCGTTGGAAGGGGAGGAGGAGCCACTGGAGCTCCCTGCTGTGGAGACGAGACCAAGGAACGATCCCGTAAGCCGACACCATTTTGCCCAGGAGGGAGGAACGATCAGCCAAGGAAGCTGATCTACGGTGACGGATTCGGTAGGCCAGAGAAGACAAACTGACCTGCCTGTCCTGAGACAAGGTTACTTGTACTGAATCTGTGTCAATAACCGCCCCCAAATGTTGAATGCGGGTAGCTGGGACTAAATGGCTTTTAGCCCAATTTATAGAAAAGCCATGAGATTGCAAAATATGGACGGTACAGTTGAGATCGAATATGGCCTGATCAGAAGAACGGGAAAGGATGATAATATCATCCAAGTAGAACATGGCTCTGATAGGGATGGAGGAGATATGTGCCATAAGGGCAGCCATCACCTTACTGAACACCCTAGGGGCGGAAGATAGCCCAAAGGGCAGAGCAGTGTATTGAAAATGGCGTCCATTATGATAAAACCGGAGGAATTTGCGATGGGCCGGCCTAATTGGAATGTGGAGGTATGCCTCCGTTAGGTCTATCGAAGTCATGCAATCTCCTTGTCTAATCCCCAGCAATATAGTCTGAAGAGATTGCATCTTAAACTGACGATAAACAATGTGCCGGTTTAAGGATTTTAAATCGAGAATGGCTCTCCAACCTCCCGATGATTTGGGGACCAAAAACAGACGGGAATAGAACCCTTGAGATCGCTCTGCAGAAGGGATGGACTCAATAGCTTTAATGTCTAGCAGGTGTTGGATAGCCGAATCAATGCGAGCGACCTTGATGTGATCCTGGGAGGGAGGACATCGTAAGAAGAACTTTGGGGGAGTGGAACTGAACTCCAAGGAGAGTCCAAAGCGCACGGCAGACCTGACCCATACATCTGTGACAGTGTTGTCCCACATGTCAGCAAATTGAGAGAGCCGGCCCCCTATATAAGAGTCCAGGGAAGACCTACCGGGTTCTGCGGAAGGGCCGTCCCCTACCCCCTCGGAAATATCTCTTAAACCCAAATCTGGACCCCTATCTGCCTTGGTTGTCTTGGTGGGAGGGGCCTCTGGAGGCATAGGGACGTTGAGATCTCTGGGTGGCAAAGGAAGACTCAGAGTTGCGAAAGGAAGAGGAGGAACGAAAAAGGGGTTGAGACCTGTTGTCAGGTCGCCTATTGAGTGGAGGAAGTACCTTGCGGTGATCCTTTGTTTCCACAAGGAGTGGATCCAGTTGAGAGCCAAAAAGTTTGTCACCAGAGAAAGGGGAAGATGCCAATCGCCATTTACTTCTAATATCAGCTTGCCAGGAACGGAGCCATAATAGGCGACGTGAGGTGATCGATGAACCTATGGCCTTGGCCGAAAAGCGAGCCGCACTGAGGGTGGCATCGGCCGAAAATTCAACAGCTGCTAATATTTTGTTCAGATCTTGATGGGAACGATGATCTGAAGCAGGCAAGCGAGCCTGTAGTTGCCTCAGCCAGAGAATGGTTGCCCTGTTGAAAAACGATGCTGCTGAAGAGGCCTGCACTGACCATGCCGAGGCTTGATGCCCCTTAATCAAGGTTCGCTCCGCTTTCTTCTCCTCCGGCCGCAAGCATTCCTCAGATGGACCTGTGAGAGGAGAGGGAGAAGACAGTGCCAACACAGGGGGATCAATGGAGGGAACCTGCAAAAGGTTTGAAAATTCCGGAGCCATATTGAAAAAGCGTTTGTCCAAATTGTTTGGAACAGGTCCAGAACCTGGAAGGGACCATTGCCTGGTGACCACATCCGAAAATAATTTTGGAGCAGGAATCACTTCCTTCTGAACTGAAGGTTCTTGGAACAGAGCATTAGTTGGATCTTTAGAAGAAGAAGCAGTTGCCTCAGTAGAGGAAGAAGAGCCAAGCCCCATGACAATCTGGGCCTTGTGAAGTAATGAACGAAACATCTGTGGCCGAAAAAGGCCAATGAAGGCAGGTTGGTCAGGTTCCAGGCCTTCATCATCTGACAAGTCCTGGTCAGCTACAATTTCTCCCTCTGAAAGGGAACCTTGGCTAACTGATTCATCAGGGTCACCAGCCTCAGACACAATTTCCACATCCCCCTGACAGGAAATTCCTCTGGAGGGAAGAAGTTGGCTGGAATGAGCAGAAGCCTCAGAAGGAGGGGCAGATCTCTGTTGAAGGCCTTGGGAAATACCCTGACGAATGGCCTCAGAAATTAATGTAGCCAATGCAGGAGTAATCTCCGGAATAGGTTGAGAGACCTGGTTAGGTTGAGAAATTTGGGCAGGTTGAATGGCCTGGGTAGGTTGAGAATCCTGGTTAGGTTGAGAAGCCTGATTTAGGGCTAGGTTTGAAGGGCCATGAGAGCCCTGAGTTATCAATCCAGGAGAAGGAGGAGGAGGAGCCTCATGGGAGACTGGAAATACTGAAGCTGCCTCAGAATCACAATTAGTGTCTCCCACCACAGATCTGTCTGGTGATAGGGCTGGAGTTGGCCTCTGGGGTGGATGTGAATGCGCCTTATCTGAGGCTGGAATATTAATAAAGGCCTCAGGTTGAACAGGAGAGCCCTGCAGGCCAGCAGCTGTCTGGGCCTTATGGAAGGCTCTTTCTATGGCCTTATGTCGCCTCTCCTCCTCCCTTGACGGCTTAGCTGATGAAGACCTGGAGGAGGTTCCTGCATTGGTGGCTCTGGACTTGCTGGGGCGACTTTTGGAGGTCCCCTTTTCAGGATCCTCCACCCTGGGCCTCTTTCCCCTATCGCGGGCCTGGCGGGAAGGTTTTGAATTAGAGGCGTCCGCCATCTTTAAACGATTGCCACGCGGTTCAAGGGGCCTAATATGGGGAGATAGGGTTTCCCCTGTACTTGCGGTTGAGGAGGCAACGAAAAAGATTCCTGAAGTGGTCGCTAGCCTGAAGGCTTAAAAACGCGACTCGCGGCTGCAGGAGGGCGGGTGCCAGAAGCTGTTAGGAAGGCGAATCCAGGAGAGCCGAAGGGCTGCAGAGATGAGTTCTGATGCAGCGCGCTACCGCCGTTAAACAAAGAAATATGCCGGGACAGACCCCGATATTGTTTTCGGAGTGGGGGCTCTGTCAGAAACTTCCGCAGCACTTGGGGCTTGCGGGAAAGCCGGGTAGCGCGGCAGAGCGAACTCGTGCATGCGCCAAATGGCCGCCGGAGCTTAAACAATGAGCAAACAAGCCAGGGAGCAAGCGATAAGAATAAAGAAAGTCCGTTCCGAGTCAGAAAACCAGTTTAAATCAATCAGATTGAGAAAAGGCTATAGACACGACTTGATCCTGACAGACCGAGTTGAAAAACTGGACCCAGGCAGGAAGAGGCGGGCCTAAAGCTTCCAGTAGACTCGGTCCTACCAATCAGCATCGAAGCACCACCCATGACTGACTGCCGTGACAGCCAATAGGAGAATGGTGGAGGATCCTGGCCACTGACCATGATTTTACTAACAGATTTGACTCTAACTTCCAAGGTATTTTTATTTTTTAAAAATGCTGCATGAGGATAAACAAGAAAGAGACTACTCACTATCCTTAATCCCAAGAAGAAAGGCAAAAGGACAAGCACAATTAAAATCTCACTGACACACATTTCAAAAATCTTCTACCAACAGACTTTATACTTCTTAGTAGAATAACTCCAGTATTAGTTCAAACTTTCATGTCCACTGAAAGTTTTAAAAACAAATGGTCTTGGCTGCCTCCTTTATTTGGTTATGCCACAGAGAGCAGAAGCAAGTACTTTCCTGCCAAGATCATAGCACAAGTTCCCGCACGCAATTCGCCTAACATGATGCAGAAGTGAAATTGCAGGGTCAGAGAGAAGTCAGATTGCCATTCTTTAGTTAAAATCCAAATTTAAAAAACAGTACTGGCATGGAAAGGATTCTCAGTAATAAAAAGCAATTTCCTATATCCTTTCAACCCAAGATGATAGCCCAAAAATCCATTTCCAAAGAAAATAAAGTCCCAGAATTAGAAAAGATTTGTCCTAAGATCATGGAGACTTGTCACAATAGGCAGCTCTGAGTGAGATGAAGCATATATTGTGTGTCCAATCACACTTGGCCAATAAAAAAATTCTATTCTATTCTAAGTTTTCTTTTGTTGCAATATGAATAATGTTCTAAATAAATATCACAGTGCCTGGGGAACAATGCAATAAACCTTCCGTTTGCGAATGATGAAAAGAAATTAAAGGTATACCAAAAGAAGCAGCATTCAAAATATCATACAAAGTGATACCTGTGGTTGCGTAAGCACATTTCTGCTTACATAACAGCTTTTACCTCCTCCTTTTCCCTACAGCCTCATGCAGTCTGTTGAAATCTGTTTCAAAGAGTCCCTCAGCATTGCACAGCAGACTC